ACCCCACTTCCCACCCACAGGGGGAACGGGGGGGGGCATCCTGGACCATGTACCATTGGGGGGGGAGGGGGGGGGAGCCGGGGAGCGCCTGACCATTTATGCGACACAACAGCTGGCATCTGGACCCTCCACCTGATCAACCATGTCGATGACCACTCGCCACAACATGTCCTTAGCAAAGATTCAGCTTGAAAAGGACGCGCAATCTTTCACTATGCTGCTGGTCCTGTGCTCTCGTGGATATGGTGGGGAAAACCCTGGGCTAGAGAGGCCCACAGCCGTGTACCGCCAATTCCAGATCATCCCAGTGATATGACTTGTGCAAAACCGAAGGAAACAAACTGGCTCTGCATGCCAACTGTTTGCGACAAGCAACGTAGTGCATTATGAGGTCAACCGTGACCCGCTTGGACAAGGAACCGAAAATAGCCTGCGCCAAGCTCTCGCCACGAGTCTTGGGCTTTGCAGCTCTTTACTTGGAGGTTGAAGCCAGATTGAAGCACATCAACATATGCAAAGAAGGAGAAGTCAGTGCCTTGCTGGTGCGGAACATCAACAGACTGTAGAACACAGGCGTAATCAAGAGGAGATTCGCAAGCATCGTGGGACCTGATGCGGCGCCGATTGCTCTCTGCAGAACAGCTAGAAGTCGTGTCTCCCCGACGAAGTACCGGACTGTACAAATCTTCGAAATAAGCGCTGTTGATGCTGAAATCGCTGCCGTGAAGCCCGTCCTGCGCAGGCCAGAGCAGAATGTCTGGTGCCACTTAGACGAGCAACGAGCCTTCGTTGGAGTCGCGCTGGTTAAGCGTGGCATAACACGGCAAAAAAGGACAACCACCTTTGTGCACGGACACATTTCCAGCCCAGGCGACAACTCAGACTGCAAGACTAGCCGGCCTTGGCAGCGTGCACCCAGCAGTAGCAGAACCACCTGGAAAAGGAGTAGACTCTATGGACAAAGGCGCTGTAGGCATCGGAGTGGCTTGAACCGGGTCTTCCCACTGAGTTGGAGCTGCGCGGTGAGCGACTTCCACTCTCCAGAACCAAGCAAGGTGGAGAAGCCTGCAAGCTGCAATCAATGTCTCTCCTGCTGCAAGTATTGGACGGCACTCTAGGCTGCGAGCACTGGCACGTCCACAATCAGCGTGAGGAGGACGGTGGCACCTTACCCAATTGCATCTGTGGAAAGTAGTACCACGTTGGCACCCCCGAGCTTCCAGCTCAGGTACTGCACAAGAAAATAGTCTATAAGGATGACCTGTACCTTGGTGCAAGATCCAGGAGCTTCGTTTGAAGTTTCCAGTGTCGAACAGTTCAGGAGGAGCCTCTTAGTGCCGAACAACGAAGCATGTCACGCACAAAAGGTGCGCCAGTCCTCCACATAGAAGACGGTGGACACTAACCTACACCCAATGGATCCTGACCCGCAATTTCCAAAACAACCAACTACCAGCCAAGCAGCATATTCTGCTTGGAACAGCATGCACGTGGTCGTTCACAATGTCGCAAGACACACAGCAAAAGCGGGAATACACCCTATGCACAACCGTATTCAGTGACATCTTCCGTAAGACTACGTATTTGGCGCACGTTACGACGACACCACGAGGTCGAAGAACGGAGTGACATTATTCTGTCTGCACATTGAATTTGGGTTCGGAGGCTGGTCGTCGTGCTTAGAGGAAACCTGACACTTTGCGGATGTCGAAGACAGGCAGCAACACATGCAAAACGAAGCCTGTCCAAGCCGGAAACCAACATCCCGCCATTTGGGTGATCGTTTTTGGATACCTCGTGAGAATCAAACGACGAAGATGGGGAAGTGCAGGTGCCCCACCCTTGATATCCATGCAGCTTCCCGTGATGCCGCATACATGTTTGGGGAGCAGGAGGGCTCGACAAAACCATGCGAAGGGAGCCGCCTTCAAAATGAATCCATCAAGGCTGGTCTGCAAGGCACAAGCTTCAGACACTCAAGACATCTCGAGACTCCAGACGACAGGCCGCAACAGATCCACACAGCCAAACTTTCCCTACCCGCAGCGTTTCTACGTCTATGTTGTACACATCGAACAAGACCCATTTCGATGTACGGCGCGAAGTTTGCGCATCTGCCTTTGCATCAGTCGGATTAACACACTAAGGCAAAGGTGACTGTTCTCGGTATGCGCGCAGTAGTGGATGCGACCGACTAGCACTGTCCACTCTTTGCGAACACTCTGCCATCCACAGCGTGCTGTCGACAAACGGCCGTCGTTTGCCAGACAAGCCCTTCTCGCACTCGCCCACGGCGGACAGCTATTGCAAGTCGTCCCTCCGTAACGTACCAGCACGGCCTGTTGTGGAGTAATGATCGGTTGTCACAACATAAGCCCACGACGGCACTGCAGTTGCGGGCCGTCTTGCGATTTCTTCAGAGCTCCTACGTAATTCAACTCACCGAGGGATGTGCTCTTGTCATCATACTTCAGTGCTGTTTTCTTGCCAAGCGATGTGCGAAAGCCGAGCGCGCATAAGAGACTGCTTAGCTTTGTTCTCGCTTCGCGAGAGCAGACGTCCTCCCCCACAAGCAAGCCACAGAACAAGGACGTTGTTGATCAAGACGGCAGGGCTTTCACTGGTTTGCTTGACAGTGTTGCCCGACCATCTGATGTCAGTCACGAGCCAGAGCAACAAGCTCATCGGGGTGTACCCTTGGATGATGGCCAGGACCAGGTCGATTCTGTTAATGACCCTGGTTACACAGGGAAAGTGTCATCTTCCACGTTCCATCACGAAGAATCCTCAATTCAAAAGATGGTCAGCGAATAGGTGGTCAGAGCCAGCTGAAACGAACCCATCAGGGCCACATCTCTCGCCGCGGCACGACGCCCAAGTCACGGAGTAGACAAGGTACTGTACTGATGTTCATGATACTTGTAGTAGTACTTGTGCTAGCTGTAGTAGTTGTAGTATAGTAGTAGCACATGCAGCAGCAGCAGCAGCAGCAGCAGCAGCAGCAGCAGCTGCTGGTGTAGCTTTTCTTCGCACCATGGTGGCACAACAAATCGCGGCTATGGAACTGATGACGATACCAGTGACATTCACAAAAATAAAGACAATCAGAACACTGGAACCAACAGTTCGATGCGAGCCATCGACAGGGAAACAACGAGCTTCAATGCCCACGGCAACATAAGCAAGAATAACATTCGACAGCAGCACCTATCACAACAACAGTAATGACGGCAACCAATAGACAAAGGCCAGACAGTGGAAACAAAGAACAGAACAACTCATAGCTACCTCAACAGCAAGTATATAACATATCGCACTCGCCTCAAGAATAATCACTATCATCACCGCCACACTCATGCTTGTACTCGTATCCACACGGTGCTGGCGAATAACATCAACGCTGGCATTCATGCAACACGTCCTGCGATCGTGAGCAGGCTCTGGCACCTGAGATGGACAATAACTATAGGCAGTTCATGCGACCATCTATGCATAGCTTTCACCACGGCATGCCTCAGAGTTGCCTCAGATTTCCCCCCCCCCAAATCCGGCATTTTCCTGCGTCGTATGCCCTTTCGAGTACGGGTCCACAGGAACTAGAAGGCCTCCAGTGTCTCGAATTTCGAGCCAACAATAGCATTGGCTGGCACTCAAGTGCGAGACTGCAGGCTCCAGGGAATTGCACGATGCCAGAAGGGTTCCGGGCTCGGAGAAGGAATCGGGTACTCACAAAGCTCGACTGGGGCTGCCACCATGCAAAGACAACATTTGCGACGTTCGCGACAGCACCTGCGGGTCAGGTTGCTGTTTCCTGTTGGATCGTCCGTTGGCGGCCGTGGCATTTTCGCCTGCCTGATCGTGCATTTTTTATTTGCCCTCTCAAAGCATGTATGTAGCGTATGTAGTTTCTGCACATGCCTGGGAAATTGAATGCCTCCGTGGTATCGTTTGAGTCTTCGTCCAAGTCTGATTCAGTGCCTGTCACAGCTTGAACGTTCGGAAGTGACTGCAACGTGCATTGCTCTTGTCGGGGCGTCTCTGCAGGGATGTCTTTACTTTGGAAAAACTTTGCTTGTCTCCCACTCTGCGGCCGTCGTCGAGGCTCAAGACCCTAAAGTCACAGAAAACCAGGCGAAGTCTCTCGGCAGCTGATTGAGACAGGTTACGGACCTCGTGGAAAGACTGCAGGTACCATCCTTTGTTTCAGTGGCGGTTTTGTGCAAGCAGCAGCAGCAGCAGCAGGAGGAGGAGGAGGAGGAGTAGTAGTAGTAGTAGTAGTAGTGGTGGTGGTAGTGTCGTGGTAGTAGTAGTAGTAGTCTCGGAAACGAAAACGGGTCCGCTGGCCTGCTTTGTAACTGCGATGGAAGGGGCGCTGCTTCTGTGCACGCCTTAAGTAACTCACTATCGGCTACGCTGCCCCGCAACATATGCTTGCTGCAACCGACAAGGCGAGCCAGGGCCGGCGCATGCGCGTGGCAGGGTCTTCTAGCAGCCCTGTGCCAAGGGAATAGCAGACGGCACAGCAGACATTTTTTGTCGCAACCGGCAGGCCTCCCTCAACATGCTGCTCGCCCTCCCCCAGCTGTAGGAACGTGGCCTACTTCTAAAGGCCATGAACAGAGGACTCTGGAACCGAAAGGAGCCGAGAATAGGCATTTTTCCGCAGCCAATTTGAGAAGCAAGCCTGGCCAAGACCTCCTGCAAGCTCTTTTCGTCTCTTTTCCTTTTTGCCACTAGCCATAAACTTCTATGTCCTCCTCACCCCACTTGCGCCTAAAGAATGCAAAGGCTGCAGCTGAAAAGCACACTTTGGCGTTCCTCCACAAATTGACGGCAAGGCTGTCCTTGGGCCTGGTTTTCAGCCCAATTGTCCACAGCGTCTCAATATCGGAGCATATCTAGACGATGCACAACTCGCTTTCTGGGGCACCTTGCCAGTACCCTTTAAGGGTGACACACCAACTCTGACCGCAGGAAAAGATGCGACGAGCACCGCATGGTCAAAGCAGCCTTTGCTGACCGGAGGATGCGACAGTACCAGCAGTCTGAAATGCCCTTCGCGACTTTATCCCTCCTGACAAAATAATTGTGCAAGTTGCACAACAGTGCATCCAAGAGGCTTCGGGAAGGCATGACCAGCGACGGCACCGCCCCTTAACGACCTGATCTCTGCATTCCCGGCTATCCGAGGCACATCATAAGAGAGTAACTATGATAAGCTACTAGTAATCTACCCTGCCTTACTTGTAGCAGACGCATCACGACCGCCAGCTGCGCATCTGGCCTTTGCACCATGCGACCGAACTCGCCTCTGTTGTTCCGCAACACCTGCAAAAAGGCACCGGGGTTCACTTCGTCTGACAGCTTCTGACACTAAGTACGTTGCCTCGGCTGCTTCATGGTTCAAGGGATCCCCTGGGTTGGGCTCCAAGAACAGGTACCTGGCACGTGGAAGTGGGACAGAGAACCGGGTGAGCTGCACGACCGCTCTATGAGCGCACAGAAGCCCATATACCACGGATGAAATGGATAACACCTGGTCGGCAGAGCGAGACAAGCAAAAGAACACCAAAACCATGGAATAAGGTGGCAGCCGATATCCACGGCTTGGCCGCAAAAGGCGACCAGAGCAGCTCATCTAAATCCCCCACTCTAATCTCTCCAGGTCTACCAGTCCCCTCCCTCCCCGGCCCACCCCAGTGATTTTTGTAACCCACCCCCTAAAATCCTGAAGACCGAAACCCTAAACCCCCAAAGCCCTGAACCCCGAACCCCAAAACAGGAAACCCCAAAGCCCTTCTAACCTAAATATCGATACCCCCGACCCTAAGCCCGAACCACAACCTTAAATTCTCAACGCTCGAACCTGACTCAGCCCGCGGAACCCTAGAGCCGATTCAGCATGCAACCCTAAACCCGTAATCACCCGACCCAGTACTGTAACTAATCCTGGGCAAAGCCAATCACACATGCAACCCGAATGTAAACTCTGCACGAAAGCCGAAACCCCCTCTCCAAGCCCTAAAAACCGCCCTGCGCCTTAACCAAGCCCTCAACTAAACCCTGTAAAGCAATATATAATATACCTATACCCTGTTTGACGCTGTACCACAAGCCCTGCCTGAGTCCCAAATCTTGCAATCCCAATTCAACCCTGATCTTTCAACCAAGGTCCTTACATGTCCTTACGTATTCCGTTGCAGCTTAGGTTTCTGAGACCGGAACTCCAGACCCCTAAACCCTAGACCCTAAACCTGCACCACCTTGCCCAACAGTCCCACCACCCGCGCATGCAGCAAAATCCGCCGATCGGCCGGAGGCCAAGCTGTGGGACCGTCCCAAGCCCTTCTCACCCACCACCTTTCGGGCCTCCCAGCCCCGCCAGGAGGTTTACAGTTAACGTTGCTGATGTGCTGTTTGGTGGCCCCACTCCTGTCTTCTCTTTACGATGTCCGCTTGGGAACGCCGCCCGGCGACATTCTGCGCGCATGACAAGGCCGCGGCTGGTTTCCAGTCTTCCCGCAGGATATTCAAGCAAACCTTGGCACATCGTATTCACCCGTGCGTGTACAGGTTCCTGAAGCCAACAATCACCTTAAGTTCGTGGCATTGCCCTGTAGGTCGATGTTGGGGTGGTAAATCTTTGTTTCACCTTGAGGAGATCGGCAAGGCAGCTGTTGCAAAACTTAGCACGCCTTCCGTACCAAGACGGACTACTTGGACTACTTCTTGCTGAGGCTTTGGCACTTGACTTTGGGAGCCTGCTGCCATGCTTCTCGGGCTACGTGCTTGCAACTGCCAGAGCTGAAGCTTCAAGCAGGCCTCATGTGGATACAGCGGTGCAACATTGAAGACGAAGGTGTAACTCGCCCCTGCACAGGTGCTCCAGGATCCGAAGGCCCCCGATGGCCCCCAGTGCAGGGCCCACGAATCCCGCAGCTGGGCTTCGAGAGCTTCGGTGAATGCTGCGAAACGCCATGCTGCTTGCGGCTTCCAGGCAAGAGTGCGGCCTTTCCAAAATCCCTCGTCTGGTGAGATCTGGATCTGGAAGTGCATGAGGTTGTTCTTGTCCGGAAAACTTAGCGTGGAGTACTACGAATGAGCTTGAGAGCACATGGGTATAACATGGTATAACGGTATAATACCGTATAGCTGCATGCTTGAATACTTGTCGCCTTTGCCAAGTCCACCTGTAAACCCTCCAGCAGGCCAGGCTTCGAAAATCGAATCCCGGGATCCGAACTTAATGTGGCACTGCGGTGGCAGCTCCATCTCGTCCAGCTCCTGGGAGTTGACATGATGAAGCTCTCTGCTTTAAACAATTGACGAACATCAATTCTAGGCACGGCAGCTTTGTCCTTCTGCATTCGAATTTCTCCCGGTTGCTTCTTTTTCGTAGCAGGCGCCTAGCAAGCACCGTGAGGCTGGACCAAAGTCATCCAGGAGATCCGAGAATGCGTTGCAGAGATGCCTCGGCATCATCATCCTTTGATTCCTGGCCCATGTTCGAGTCGTCGGAAGGGTGGACGCATGTCATCCAAACCCACAGCTCGAGTCCTCCGCACGCTTGCCGCGGCCCACGCCGAAGATCTTGATCATCGCCGGTCCTCAGGCAGATCAGCTAGCATGTGCGAAGTCATGGTGAAAAACTGGCTCAACTCGCCTGCAAGGCAAGCCGCCGGATGTGTCTTCGCACTGCCTACAACCTAAACCCGTGAGCACTCAACGCTGCAGTGAGCTGGCATCAGTTCTCACAGTCGCAAGATAATGCAGCTGGCACCATGCGGTCGCTGATTGAATACGATGAACACCCTTCACAGCTCTTCTTCGCTCTCGGCAGCTCCGACGAAATCGGGTTTCTAGAGACTACGGACAGCCTTAATGCACTGCCGCCCACGCTTGCGATTCTGGCGCTGTTGCACAACCCTGTAGCTAGGCAATCCGGGGCGGCAGGGCTTGCTGTACAAATGCTGCGAAAAGCACCCATCGCTTCTGGAATGGTTCGCCACATCAGCTGACATCAGCATTTGTGCACACGTGATGCACGGGCACCTGTGAAGAACTGCGAGGGCTGCCGCTGCCACGAAAACCAAGACGCCGACCAGAACTGCGACTGCTACTTTTGTTCCTCCCCTTGTCGAAGATGCAAAATTAAATTGATTTGTTGGCGTACGGGGGTTTGGTGTCATCGGTGCTGGCCTTCTGCAGCCTCAGCTGCAGCCGCCGGGCCTGATACTTTGCGATGGTCTTTCGGCTGGCGGCTTGGGCAGCAGTTTTACATGATAGTAGTCGCAACGGCCACATTGCGGGCGCTGTGTCGCAGAACCAGATTTACAAGCCCGGGTGCCTGCCGCCACAGCAACCGCTGGTACGCCTCATGACAACTCACGGCGCAATGCTACCCTTCAGCGAATCATGGCAAGATCTGCTCAGCTATGCTCAGCTCAGCGGCCTTTTCTTGATTTCGATCTGTTCGTTGATGCCTTCTAGGTCGTAGCCTTCGTTTCGACATCTATGGGCTGACACCTTCCAGTAGCACCAACGGTGCCTTTCTCGTAGAGCTCCTTCTTGACGGGGTCAGTGAGCACTTCGTAGGCTTCTGAAATGACCTTGAACCTCGAGAAGTTCTTGCAAAATCTCAGTCAGAATTGCTTTCTACAGGAGTCTTTTGACGGCAGCTTCCGCACGATAGCCGTGGTCTCTCAAATCAGAAGCCTCTCGATAATCCTCGGATGCCCCCATGTCTCTGTCTACTGTGGACGCAGCATTTCTTCGGCATTCTTTCTCGCAGCCTGCGGGCGTGATCGACAAAAGTCATCTACATTGCAACAAGTGGAAACCCGCATTCCGCCTCATCTAGATGAGACTTCTTGTCGGGGTGCCATTCGGCAGCACGCTCTCTGTATGCCTTCACTCGTCAGCAAAGCAGACTTCAGCGGCACAGAAGCAGCAACAACCAGGTGGCACTGGCTCTTCTCCGGTGCAAAACCAAGGCAAACAAACACTTGGGTTCTGGCCTTCTTAATCTCAAGCTGTGAGGCCACGGAGGGGACTCCAAGCACTTCATAGTAGTTTTGTCGCTTGTGCTTCCTTGCAGAAGCCATTGTGATAAAAAAAAAAAAAAAGGCCTGTCGCCGGCCAGGCTTTCGGCAACAAACCGAACGCGTCCTCAGCAAGAACTTCGCTTCTTCGAGTTTGTGGTAGACCTTGTCTCTGCAGAACTGGAGGCTCCAACCGTCGCATGCACGGCTCAGCTAAAGTTCCGGGTTGTCCGAGTCGTCAACACTTTCCACCGGATGCCATGAAATGAGCGACTGCCACGGATTGCAATCAAAGCAGTCTTGGATTCACACTGAAGGATCGAAATGATAGAATCCCTATAATGCTTAGCGCATCCCCCAAAGTTAATGCAGTCAGGCTGTTTTTTTCTCTGCCCTCGTCTTCGAAAGTCTGGGATCTGTCTCTGGTCAGATTTAAGAAACTTGGGATCAAATTGCTTCAAACAAGGCATTGTCTCTGCAAGTTTGCAGGCCTTGACCTCGTCAATCCGGGGTAGCAGCGAATGGTGAATCTTCAGAAATCTTTGGTTGGATTTGATGATATGAAGATGGTTCTTTAAATGATTTCTGTGCTTTTCCCTCGCATCGAATAGCAAGTAGAAAGCAACTTGCAGGCGCCAAGTGTTCAGCAGTTGGTGTGATCGATAATCCTTGCTAACTTACTAACTGCGACTGGATTCAAAACACAGCAGCACGACAACGGCATGCAAGGGGCCTCTAACTCCTTCACAGCATCTTCATGTCTCTCCAGCGCCTGACACAATAGGAACAAATCATGTTTCGCCATTTCCGCTGCCTGACGCATAAATACACGGCTAGCCTGCATTGCTTGGGATCGATAGAGATAAGGTTGCACGAGCCTGGTGCAGTCATGATCCTGTATGACCCATTGTTCACGGCAGCAGAGCGGCCGGAGAGGCCTAAATGATCCTGGGGAGCAAGCGAGTGATTTCGGTAGGTGGCCTGTCCAACGTCTTTCAAGACCTGAGTCTCGTAGCACTCTTCCCTCAATCCATCGGATCTCCGAAGCTTGGTCACAGACACCTCGCCAATCCTTCAATCGCATGCACGCTTTGGCACGCTCGCAGTAGAGCGCCGCCAGCATTACCTGCAGAATTCTCCAAAGTCAGAAACATCATGCTAAAGTGAAACACGTCGACATGTAGTTTCCAAGAGAGCACCCCGAGACCCGGGCAGGGCTGTCCGGACAGAGTTCCAGCATGCCTGAATGACCCAAGCCGGTCTAGGCAAACAGCTTGCAGCCGCTTGCAACTTGAAAGTGCATACGAGAGGCCGTCGATGACCTGCTGGCCTTTCTCGAAATCACCTCAATCGACGTATCACGCCCTTTCGAAGTAAGTGCTCTGCCGCAAGAGCTGAAGCTGCCGTCCGAAGTGCGATTATCCATCGACTCCTGTCTTGAAAGGCGAACATACCGGCATGTCGAGATAATGCAGGCAACTTCGGGCTTACAGTGTCCGCAAGTCAACGCAGAGCATCGCAGAGCCATGCAACAACACATTCCTCACCACGCATCTCTCCAATTATAGGTTCGCCCTTTGTGCGAATGTACAGTACATAAGCTGTACTGTACGCGTCTCTTTGCTCTTTCCAGGGCATGGGACGACGAGACGACATGCAACTATATGAGAGATAAATTGCTGCATGGCAGGTGATCTCTGACTCGTTAGACCACAACAGATGCTCAAGGTGCTGCTGCCTCCTGCGCCTTTTCATCTGCGCGGCTGCCCCGTAGTCCCCACAAGCACCCCGGGCTCCCTGGTAAAACAATATGGTGCAGTATGGTCGGCGCAGCCAGTTTTCACCAGAAAGATGAAGAGAAGGCACAGACTCACGAACGCTTGTGGAACCCGTCCTTCATTTCGGCATGCTTGCTGCACAACGCCCGCAATCTTTTTCGCAGGGCCTCGCCATCAGGGTCAGAAGAATGCACCCAAGTCTTACGTGCATCCGTGCCAGTAGCGGCAGAGTCATAGTGTTCTCAAGGGCTCAGAAGGGGCGCCTGAGCCTCTGCATGGTCTGGATCCAGGGACAAGGCCTGCCGTTTCAGTGTGAAAGATTTTCCCCGAAAGACCCCACAGTGTGACACAGTGCAATTCTACTTCAACCTCTATGAAAAAATGCGGCTCTAATATCACGGTCTCGTCTCCAGGAGTGTGGCTCTGAAAAGTTCAATCGAGAGCATCCTTAGGAGTTCACCATGTCGTGTCTTTTTGCATTGCGCCTTCTGTCCGTGCATATATTAACCACTTTCACGTCAGGACTCAAGATGTGTGCCAGACAAGGATATGATATATGTGTGTGGGTATGTAGAACATCTTACATACGTATACCAACGGATACTTGCGCAGATCCTACATTGCAAGGCAGGTAGGCTTTCTCATGCTTTCTGCCATTTCGAGGTTGACCTCCTTGAGGAGCCGCTGGCCCTGCTCCAAGGGCTCCACCTCAGCATGGCTGCACGGTCCTAATCTGAACATTCAGTGCAGGGACCGAGCCGAGGTCGTCTGGCACAGGACTAGGGAGGACGATGTGAGAGGAGGCGCATGACTCCGATATCAGGTCGCTGGGGACACTGAAAGTCTTCTCAAGACTCTTGCACGTTAATCCGAAATGTGTTCGCAAACCCCGGAAACAAGACTTCTGCATGACGTACCTTGCTTTCGAGCCCCCTCTAGATGTCGGATCTCAAAGACACACGAGTGCCGGCATTTGAGTCCGAAGCCCACTGCTTCGAATCCGCAGCTGCGGAGTTATTCCGGTACAGCGCCTGATGCATCGTAGTTCTGCGGTGGCTCAGATCTTGTGCCAGCGACCCTCCCCGGTGCGGCTGATCGTCAGCATTTTTGGTCCAAATTGGCTGGTCTTGAGACATGACCCTTTGCAGGGCACGATCTGCACGCTAAAAATGCGGCCTCTAGCATGTCTAGCCTGCGCAGCGCGTCCGTCACTGATCCTCTGTACGTGTTGAAACCCGCACAGATTTGGACCCGCGGGGCCACGGACCGGGCCATTCTCAGAGTGTGGCATGACAGCTTCAGGTGCTTCAAGGCCCAGTTCCGTCATCTCAAGATTGTGCCACGAACAATCACAGAGCACCGAAAATGTCACCTCCATCAGGCTATCTACAATGCCTGTCTGCCTACACGAGAAGCTCGCGCTTCCCGAACCTACGACGTCGTCGCCGTGCACCAACCGGGCAGCAAATGCCACAGGGCTTCGACGAAGAGCGTTAAAGCAGATGGAAAACGTTGATCACCATGAATATCAGAAAGTTGCCACCTGCTTGCAGCTGCTTTGCAAGCTCACTAAGCGACGACGTGCACTGAGCGGCTCTGAGTGTCCGACTGACGCAGCCTATCTGGCCATAAAAACCTAAGAGGCTAGAAAATTCCCAGGCAACGACTCAGCCAGAGAAACAAAAGCCGAGTTGCCCATGGTTGCTTGGATGGTGTCTGGACACTTCTTGTTCTGCGCATCCTCGTGGGCGCGCACAAACCTCGCAGGCGACGTGGAAAGCGCTCCGGAGAGCTCGCGACTCGGGGATCCTCTTTGCAACCGACTGGCAGGCCAGTGGACATGAGGCCGACAGAGAAGTTGAACACGCCTACCTGAGACCGCAAACGACACCTGAGAAAAGCCGAGCTCTCGGCACGCGTCGTATATCTTCAGCTTTCGGGCACGGTGATCGGTATGACCCACATAGCCACAACCGCTGGTAGCATGCTGGCCACATAGTATGGATACACTGAACCTTGGCGCGAAAGCAAGACTCGGATGCTCGACTTTCATTTGCATCATCAGTCCGGCTATACGACCACTCCAGAGTCTCATCACATGCAACCAAGCCTCATAGCACAAGGCAAACAAAGGTCACGAAGACCGAGACAAAGCTGCAGACCTCAAGAAGCTTGTGGAAACGCTCAGCTGTCTGTGTAGCGATTGAAAGACAAGGCTGCGTGAGTGACGAGTGCTCAAGCGGTGCAGCATATTTTGCTTTCGATGGACAGAAGGACATGTGGGGCAAGGTGTCCTACTGAGGCAGGGACCAGACCAAAGCAATGCGGCTTGTACCACTGGCATAGCAGACGACCAATAACATTGCCAAGGTTGTACCTCGGTGAATCCAGTCATGTCGAGTCCCTGCCAGCCCCTGTAAAGACCGTTTGAAGAAGCTCTCTGTCTCTTGATTGCAGCTGGGCACATCGTATTCATACTCTCGTACAACCTTGGCAAGATTACCAACTTGCACGGTCTGAAGACAGCATCAATCGTAGTGCTATCCTTGCCGAGAGACTGTTGCTTCTGAAGACCACACGAATTGGCAATGAAAGGCAAGAGAGAGGGGATGCTGTAGCACATTGCCCTTCCATGCAACATGACTTCCACTCGACGGTGCAAAAGCTCACATTCCAGCACATTCCGGCTTGGCAAGCACCCGGCCATGCAAAGAGGTCTTCTTTTCACACATCAGAGACATGGTGGGCTCAGGCACCTCTTCATTTCCTGTACTGTCCTGGAGCCTCTTTGGGTACATGTAACCAAACTCCTTGAGCAGCCCTGCCTAGACACGAAGGAGCAGCTGGTGTAGAAGAAAACAACTTGGCGGCCCTGAGAAAGAACTCAAGCTGGACTCCTGCGGCAGATGTAGTACAACTCATTTCAGATGAGGCGCATCGGCGTATGCATCTTGATCGCCTTGAAGGGCGTTGTAAAATCCTTGAAGAGCATCGCAGATTCCTTCTGCAGACCTGCTGCAAAGCTCAAGAGCAAGTTGCGCGATCGTTGTCCCATGTGCCTCTGGGCCATTTCACCCACTCCCTCCGCGGCACGTTTTATGCCTGTCGACGACTCGTCCTGTGCGTGAAATGGCACTTAAGAACGAAGCCTAAAGAGGTGGAGGATAGGACAGAGGCAGAGGAGCGGCATAACAGAAGGTTGGAGCATTCTAACATGATCAGCTCCATCTCCTCGACCGGAGGGTTCAGAGGCATCACCGTTCGGTGCGTTGCACCGTTCGTGTTGCCTCGATAAAGGGAAATAATCAGGCAAGTTGGCACGAAGAACTGATTAGAGCTAGGGCCGGCACCGGCACTTTGGCCAGTTGAAAACAAGGTACAGCCGTCGCAACCAGCACAGTTGCATTTGGCCTGACGCAAGTGATGGCGGCAGTGCGGCTGACGGTCTGATAATCGATGACGATACATGCATGATACAATTCTGTGCTGGTGCCATAGATACTTCAGCACCCAACCGCACCAACTGTGCAGAGGCGCACCGACCATGACGGCACATGCACAATGCAGGCACAACGTATTGGAATCGACATGCTCGGCCTTCTCTGCGAATAGAAACGAGCTGCATGAAAACATGCCGGCCACGTCTTTGGCACTGACGATGGCCCACAGCCCCATCTGCCTCATGAATTATGTTTCCTAGTTGGCCTCGCTGAGAGAGCACATAAACGACTAAGTATAGCCGAGGCTCAAGACAATGATGATAGCGAAATAAGGCACGATCCCAAACCGGCCGACAACCACCTGGAAACTGTTTACAGGTTCACGTTGATTCGCGGACATATTAGCACGAACGCATGAAGCCTCGATCAAGTTGGGCAGCACACCGCTGAAGGATCCACCAATTTGAATAGCCTGAACCACAGTGCGCAAGGATATTCCGTTCAGAGCTGGTACTCCATGTCGTTCGCTCTACTTACTGTAGTCTACTTGCAGCAAGTCAGGTGGATTCATCTTCAGTCGAGAGGCAGCTGCATATCTGCTTGGATGCCTCGGAAAGAACTGTGGCTGGGCAAGACGGAACTTCTGCGGAGGACTCAGAATCCCTGCCTCTTGTCAAGTGGCTCGGAGTCTTGTGCAATCAAGGAGCTGAAGTGCTATAGGCCATGCAGTCAGATCCTCATGAGCGCACAGGGACAAGGGGATCCGATTCCGTGATGCCACGGTTGCATCTGGCCGAGGTGCTCCGACGTTTCCGACGGCGCCTGCTCATCTTTGGTGGGATCCGTGAAGCTAGCGAAACCCATGCCAAGCACACTGCGGGCATTGAAACCAACAGCTACACTGCACTGCCCTGAAGATTTAGGATCCACGCAAGCACAATAAGCAAAGAAGGAATCTTGCAGCCCTCTCACGCGATTCCATCATACTCAGCATCCAGTTTTCTTTCGCTCACCTGATGCTCACAACAATTGAAATTCGTGTCCTGGGCAAGGCCGCAAACAGTCCGCAAAACCAACAGCAAACCACTAGCTTCCCGTGACATTTCCAGCATCGCAGGCCTGCAATGGCTGAGAGCACGACAAGCTCTGCTGTACACATGTAGCACATCCACCTCTGCGGTTTGGCATTATCACCTACGAGAGGCTTGGTTGTTATGGGGACGTCCCTGGCGCATGCCTCATGAGCATGGAAGCGATGCACATCCTCTGCAAGTTGAGGCAGGCGGCAGGAACGAGAAAGTGACCAGCGCCATCACGGCGGCAAACTGTCCCATGTGAACCGCTGCTGCTGCATTTGCTGCAGCCTGTTCTGAAATCCCGGAGTGGTGGGGACTAGGAAGGGATCAGCACTCATGAGCAGGAGCCTTCTTTCGCTGCTGGTCCTCCTTGAAGAGACGACGCTGCTCGCTCATCTTCCTACCCATCAGTCAGCTTGCAGCTTCTGAGTTCCCTCCACACCGGTTTTGCCGAGAGGCTCCATGCTCGCGGACACACTGGCCTACACAAATCGAATGCACAGGACGGGTGAGGGAGCGCTACGCTCAGCTAAACTCCGCACATGTGACAACCGTCTTAGGCACCTTCAGGTCCAGATCATGGTTGTACGCGACAACGTGGTAAGCAATCGCGAAGACCTCAAGGCGCGCACTCTGGGCCGGCATCTTTCAGGTGCACAGACCGACTTGTGACCGTGGGTCGGGCAGCGCCCATCTGCGTACTGGCATTCACAATGCTTGCAGTCCCCGCGCCCTCTGCCAACTTGTCGATCAAGAGGGGCAGCCTGGAAGCAGCTGCTTCGTGGCACGGGCATGCTCTGACAGCCTATCGCAAAACTGGGGACCCAGCGCTGCGAAGACCGAATTAGAGGCAAACCAACCGCCCACCTTGGCACGTAGAAAAATCAATATACCGAGTCGGCACTTGTTGATTTGGTGCTCTCAATCTAATTGCCGAAGCTGAGTGTGCACATACATTTACGTAAACACTTGTGTACATACACGGATGATTTCGAGTGTCGATAGAGCGAGCGAGAGAGAGAGAGAGAGAGCGGAAGAGCTCCACTACACATTGTGTTGATGTGTAACTCTGTGCGGGTGTGTTTCACCGCTGGTTGACTTACTTGTTTGTTCATTCAGTTTGTCGTTTATCTTTGCTTCTGCGAAAAGGCCCCCTACTCTTCATCGGGAGTACCGCGGTTTCTGTGAGGCTGTTGATTCTGACAGCACAAACTGGTGCTGCAGAATAAGAAGTCGTGGTACTAGTGGTAATAGGTTTAGTGGTGATGGTGGCAGTAGCAGTTACTGCTGTTGTAGTTGTAGTTGCAATTGCAGTTGTAGTGGTAGTGGTAGTGGTAGTGGCAGTGGGCGGTGCCAGTAGCAGTGGCAGTGGTAGTGGTCGTGGTACAGGTGGTGGTAGTGGTAGCGGTAGTGGCAGTGGTAGTGGCAGTGGGCAGTGGCAGTGGGAGTGGTAGTGGTATTAGTAGCAATAGTGGTAGCGGTAGTGATGGTAGTAGTAGTTGTTGTTGTCGTACTACTCAGCAACAGTAGAGGTAATAGTCGTGGTGGTGGTGGTATGCTGGTGGTGGAGGTGGAGGTGGAGTTGGTCGTGGTTGTTGTGGTCGTGGTAGTCGTGGGAGTCGTGTTGGTCGTAGTGGTAGTAGTGGTAGTAATGGTAGTAGTGGCGGCAGCAGCAGCAGTAATGATGCTAGTACTGCTAGTAGCGCAGCCACAATCATCATACTGCTCTTCATACTGATCTTGACGCCAATACGCTAGCAGCACTCATGGCCATGAGAATACTCGGTCATGGTGCTGATGCTACTGTCGATGTTCTGACTGCTATTACCAACATAGCGATTTCGTCGCTGCTATTGCTCTGCCGGTATTGGTAGCAGTACTATTGCACAGTGGTACGGCCATCAGCATCAAAAACCGTGATGCGTCAAGTGATGCATAATGGGATACAGCATCATCTAATGCTGCATTGCGCCTCGTAGTCTCACAATATATGCGTTGAAGCGAGTGTATGTATGCACAACAGCACCTACCGTAGGACCTAGCACAATGATAAGATATCAGCGGAGCCGAGGCGATAGCTCCGAGAGAGAAGAAGAGCAGCCAAAGCTGGAAGGGCGCTTTGGCCTGACGAAATGGGACGTAAGCCGAGGAAAGTCGGATGCTCAGCTCTAAGGAACATGAAAGCATGATAAAAATAAGTTCATGTGTAGAAGTGATACTAGCCAGAAACACAGTACAAGTAAGCTGAATCACAGCTTGCGCATGAGCGGCTGCTTCACTAGCCTCAACGAAACCAAACCTTGAGCCATACGTGACAACGAACAAAACACCTGACAACCCATGGCAAGCCCTGCCTGGCGGGTTGCCCGCAGGCTTGCATTCCGCTCAGCGTCGCTCAGCAGTGACATGGACTTGGCGCTGTAGAGAGTAAGACTGCGGCCTGCCCAATTACCAGCAAAGCGAAAGGCAAACCCAATTCAGCAACAGGGCTGGTCGTGTTCTACAAGAATCGCGGACGTCAGACCAGCAGTGGTAGCAGCAGCAGCAACGGCAGCATCCGCAAACGTGGTCGTCGGCATCATCATCGTCGCCTTAGTCGTCGTCATCGTGATCGGCACCGTCGGCGTCGTGCAGAAGTGTGCTGGCAGACTAACAGAGCTAACGTAGTAATGGCACTAGCAGTAGAAGTAGTCGTAGCAGCAGCAGCAGTGGAAAAAAGTAGTAGTTGCAGCAGCAGCAGCAGCAGCAGCAGCAGCAGCGGAAAAAGGAGTAGTAGCAGCAGAGAAGGGGTAGTCGTAGCAGTAGTAGTGGTAGTAGTAGTAGCAGTAGTCGTCGTCGTCGTCGTCGTCGTCGTAGTCGTAGTCGTAGTCGTAGTCATAGTCGTAGTCGTAGCGGTAGTAGCACTGGTGGCAGTAGCAGTAGCAGTAGTAGTAGTAGTAGTAGTAGTAGCAGCAGCAGCAGCAGGAGTAGTAGTAGTTGTTGTTGTTGTTGTAGCAGCCATTGCACCAGCTGTGGCAGTAGGAGGGGTAAGGGATAGCGCAGCATGTTTAGCCTTGGTCGTTATCGCCACCATCGTCGGCAGCAGCCGTGACATTAGCAGTGGTCTGTTGTTGCTGCTGCTGTAGTAGCAGGACTAGCAGGAGGAGCAGCAGCAAGACGAGGACAGCATCATCAACACAGCCCCCTCAGCGAGTACCAGGTGCCTGATGCTTTTGCCCTGGCGCGATAGTACAGGGGCAGCTGGTCAAACGAGTTTGCCCTGGCATCGTCGTGTGCAGCAGATGCAGACGGCACCATGGAAGTTCAACCACAGACACAGACGGGCGTTGGCCTGGATCGTCTTTTACTCCCCATCACCCTTCAGGCTCACAGAGGTTCACAGAATGGGAGACCACGAATGGATTGGCCCGCTGCACCCCGCCTTGCCATCTCCTCTGGCGACGGAGCTTCCCAGCAACTTTGGCACAGTCCCGTTGCCCAGTAGGGGTCCTCATTTTTCCGTACCATGCTTGGCACATGAACAAGAAACCAGCTGCGGGCAAGCTGCACCAAGCGAGATCTTCTTCTCGCCGCACTTGCTGCAGGTTCTCTCGCCGTCTGCCAGGACTTGCTGGCAGAATTCAGAAACAGTTCGAGTTCCCCCAAGACCTATCTCAGATTAGTGGCCTGTCAGAGACTTGAAGCATCCCTCGCCTCGGAAAGGCTTAGAACCCAAGCTTGATCGTCATCTCAGAACTTCTCAGTTGCGCCAAGCCACAGAGGCGCACGCCGTGGAAGTCGGTCTGGGCAGGGTATGCACAATGTCATACTCGCCAGAGACTAGAGTCTAGAGGCGCTGCCACCAGTCGCAAAAGTCGGGCAACACTGCCTGGCCTGCCGTGTACCTGCGAAACCAAGGGGCCGGAGAGTCTTGGGATCAATCTGGGAAACAGCGAGAGGCTTCCGGTACTTAGGCTGAACCTCGCAACATTGCAGCCAGGGAACTGATGGCTGCTCTGCACATCCTACATTCCATACCTTGGCGTAATCGCACTATCCGGCCTTGACAGTTCTTCCGATGAAGCCCTGCTTGCACAAACACAATCTAGAACTCAGGCTTTCTCTGAGTCATTAGACCTTACAGATCTGCAACAGTTGCATGCGTGCAGAACACACCCCTGACAGACCATGCCCAGCAAACATCGGGTCTGTGTAGTCTTATGGTTTGCAGCCGTGGTGCAGGACCTATTGTAGCAAGCATCACAGAGTCCAGATCCCCAGCGAAGTTGCTTGAGGGGGATCTTCTTCTGGCAGCCTCAGTTGCACTCGAGTAGGACGCTGCAAAAAGCAGTCTGACGAGTGTCTGTGAACGCAGTGCAACTGAGCGTCAAGTACACTTCTTATCACAGTCCTGGCAAGGGCATCACTTCCTTCAATGCCGCTTCATACATCGGACTCGGTATCAGCCTGCCTTGTAGCAAAAGTCACACAAGCCGGAAGTATATCTCCTTGGCATGTACTTGTATGGACAACGGATCTGCTTGCTGGCGGACACAAGACGTGCTGCCCTTGTTGCAGCATTCTGTTGCGCAACACTACACCCTTCACTGCTTCTCACTGCGATTACCAGCATTACTGTCTTGAGGCGATGCGCTGATTGTGACCATTCTGAAATTATTGCGTGATGCAAACTCGGTTGCAAAACGGCCATCACTAAAGTCTCGCACGACTGCCTCGCAAGATCCTAGTAGCATCCAGCTTGATTACAAACTGGCACCTCATACTTCTTGAAGTTTCTATCATGACAGTCCACGCTGTTCTTGTCCATTGGTTGCCACCTTCAACCTCTCCTGTGTAGGATTGGATATTCGTTGTGGGCATTTCAGGTCAGACTTTCACAGTTTGCCGCTCTGCTAGTCTCAGGACCTTCTGTTGCCTGCACAACATGTCCCAAACGACGGTGCGCATGATCCTGCAGAGATTTGCATTCGATCCTGCTTCGCGACGTCTGCATGCCAGGCTTGCGAACTTCGTGAACATGTCAGAAGCACAAGAACCCGAACAAAGCCAATCAGCAGCTCATCATCGGGAATGTTCTCGTTGCATCGAACGCAGACGGTGTTGTACTTCGCGTAGCAAGCATCGCACAAACCTCGGTTCGACGGCATGGATCGTGTCGGAAGCTTGAGCGATCCTTTGGAGCCAAGGTTCGGATGTGAGGACGCTTCCTGGAAACAGCAGCACGGCATCCGCCGATGTTGTCGTAGCACTCATTACAAACTCCTGCGGTACAGCGCGCTGCTAACAGAAGACGGCGACTATCAATAACACCTGTCTGACCAACAGGACATGCGTCCTGTGCGCCAGCCGATCTCCTCGAGCGAGATCGTCTTACTACCTTGGCTACTGCTGCTACTACCACTACCACCACCACCACTACCACCACCACTACCACCACCACCACCACCACCACAACTACTACTACCACTACTACCACTACCACTACTACTACGACGAC